CTAATGTCTGTAGGCATCATAACTCTCTGTATATTGTTATATAACAGACTAATTTACTGCAGAAAAAACATGTAAAACTGGAAAAAAGAGAATGAAAAAAAAATATTTCAGTCGATTTCAGCCAACAATTTTGACTTCTTGTGGGTTTGTCTCAGTAAATGTGTGTATACAAATAAGTGTTTTATATAAACAGGGAAATCTGAATGAACAAAGTGCTAAGCAGAATATCCTAAAATGAATTATTCACCAAAGCATTTTATTGTTAGGAAAAAACAAACCACTTAAAGGTCTGTGTCAATAAAAATCAAAGAAATTTGAAGTTCAGTCACTAGGAGATTGACTTTTTTCAGCATTTGGAGTTAGGAACAGAACTGTCAAATTCGGTAGCTACTCATTGAAGCTGCTGATGATCATGGCACGCCAACCATCTGTAGCTTCATAGATAAGCATTGTAGCTAGTCAAAGCAGCAAACTCTGTATCTAGCTACAAATTACCAGAGAAAATAAGCAGAGAGATTTGTAGCTGCTTCAGAGTAGGCAGTTGTGACATGGCCTTGACTTTCATGGATCTATATCTCCCACTCAAGACTGGCTGCTCTTGTATATGGATAACTTGGGTGCTGGCCATTATACTCCATCTCTACTCTCTATTGAGAATATGAAATAATATCAGCCACACTCTACTTAGCTCTTTAACAGTATTTTTAATAATCAATGAATTTACTTCATATAGCAATGTCTCCACCAAAAAAATAACTTTCTGCGTTTCACTATCCTTGTGAGCAAGCCAGAAGTGGTAAAAAACATCAAGGAAAGTTGTTTTTTTTTAGGTGGAGACATTGCTGTATGCTGTCAATTTATTATTAAAAAATACAGTAAGAGGAACTAAGTAGAGTGCTACTGATATTATTCCATATTTTCAATGGCCCTGGCCCTCACTCTAATTCTAACTCTAGCCTTTACTGCAAGCCCACTCTGACCTTAATAATAGCTATAATGTTGAGCACACACTAAGTTTTTTTCTGTTCAGCAAAAACCTGACAGATCGCTGTACTAACAAAAGTGATGTTAGTATAGTGTTCTAGCCCGCTGAGCTATTGTGTTCTGATGGGGGAGGCATCCCTCCCACCAGGACATACTGATCTGTGTTTGCAGCCATTGGCTGCAAGCACTGATCAGTTGCCGGTTGGCTGCTGGTTTTCAAGCATGCCTGATCGACAGAAGCCGAACATTAGGCTGGTTTCTGTTGGAAAGAGTGCTGTACACACTGGCCACATGTCGGTCAGTCTCTGTTGAACTGGCCAATACCGGATGATATTGAGCCAGTGTGTAATAGCCTTTACTTAGTCCTTTCTGTAACCCCTTAACTCTCACTCTAACAAATCCTGTAACCCAAACTTTAACTCTATGCCCAACACTAAAGCTAACCATAGACACTAGTTTTTCTTTTTTTGTTCAGCCCAACAGATTACTCCATCCACACAAACAAGGTGGATGGAGGAATTCCCCCCAGCCACGGCACTGTATAGCTGCTGTTCTCAGAATACACGGATCAGCAGCTGCAGCCACTGATCGACAAAAGGTTTCCAATATTCTCCTTCAACAGAAGTCCATCAAATATTCAACTTCTGTCGAGCAGGGATGGCCACACACTTATCAGAATTCAGCCAGTCTCTGTTGAACCAGCTGAATTTCAATACATCCATGGCCAGTTTTACTTGAACCTTTGCAATAACCCTTCCTGTAACCCAAATTTAACCATTACTCTAACCCTAATTCATAAAATAACCCTGCCTAACCCTTTCTGTAACTGACTCTAATCCTGAAACTAATTCTCCCTGTAACCTTGACACTAACCCTCACACTAACCATCCCTAAACCCTAACCCCTGCACTGAAACTCCCTTTAACCATCACAACTACTTTCCCTGTGACTCTGACTCTCTTACACTTGCCCTTCCTTTTACCTTACATCTCCATGAATCCTCCCTGTAACACCAACCCTAACACTAACCCATCCTTACGTAAACGTAATCCCTTGTTTGTCATCTCATGAGCCAGGATATTCTGCACCGAATACCAACCTTCCTGGGATTAATGATATCAGCGTCACAGTCCAAAAACTAGGATCTCCTGCTTTGGTAAAAAAAAAAAAAAAGCCCTGAATACTTATGTGGGTTCTAATGCTGGTTCCAATAAACAGGCAATATTTTTTTTTCCACAATGAAACTTGGTGCTGTGGATCTGAAATATTTCTCACTTATGCAATGTGAAATGAACCACTTAATTTTTTTTCTTTCAAAATCCAACTTCAGTAGTGTAATTTACTACGCTTTATATCGGCCAAACAGACAGGCATGAATGGGAGTTTTTCAGGCAGCTGCAGGGGGATCAGGTACAGAGAGCATTACTTCCTAAGTTTTGTTTTCATTCTGAAAGGTGTTTTTAGGTTAACCAAATCCTCCCATGAAAGTAAATTTCAGGTTTTTCTAATTTCAAAGCAAATTTAGCCCTAGAGCCTGTAATAACATAATTTTTATCTGGAGAATGTACTGACATTTATCAGGTAACCTTGGTTTTACAGAGTAATTACTCAAGCGTACAAGACTGTGCTTGGAACCATGCCACAGCAAGAAACACAAAACATTCTTTGTTTCTTCTCTAATGTAAATGGATGTTTGAGAAGAAATGATGAGAATGGGATTATTTCACCTTCTGCTTGAAGCATTACTGTACAGTACATGTTCTGCACTAAGCCAATCATGCTCTTATGATCCTCACTGGAAGAACACTGAAACAGAATGTCATTTATATAACACAGTGACAGGGATTCCCAAGATTACTAATTGAAAGGCAGCTTAGTGAAAGCAGTCATTTGTTTGTTTTTGTTTAAAAAGTTATCTAGTTTTAAATGTTTTAGACAGTCTCGCCATCCCTGTGTGCTTTTAAGGCTGAGCACTATAAATTGTGGAATAAGACGAGGCACAGGGCAACTCAGGCTGTTCAAAGATGGGAAGATCAGCAAGAACAATGTATGTGATCTGCCCATCTTCATCCTCATTGCTAAGCCGCACAACATTTTGCCTCCACTTAGTGGAGTATTTGAGTATGAGTATGTACTACTCTTGGAGAAGGGATCACTCATCTATGTCAAGAAAGGAAAGCATCTAGCTCATGAGCCACCTCACAATTTAATCCATGCTTGTCTATGAGTGACCTTTATCTGTCTAGGCCAACTCATTAACCTCTACTACAAAGAGTCTGTCATTTCAGCTTTTAATAGATAAATATAACTGAATCATTAACCTTGGTGTTTTTATCTCTCAGATTTCAGTGATGAAACTTCTTCTCTTAAAAGCTGGCCATGCACAATAAAATTAAACAATAAAGAGCATAGATGGAGAAATCTCTTCTGTTTATTGTATTTATTTATTACAGGTACTTTTATAGCACTGTCAATTTATGCAGCGTTTTACATATATATTGGACATTCACATCAGTATGGGGGCGGACTGACCATTTGGAAACTCGGGCACTGCCCGAGGGCCCGGGGTCAGTAGGGGGCCCCATGAGATGTCCCTGGTACCTCTTGCATAGGCTTTTTTGAGTTTGGGCAAGGACACAGGGGCCCCATGATTGCCCGGGGGCCCCATGAGTTGTCAGTCCGCCCCTGCATCGGTCACTTACAATCTAAGGTTCCTAACTCACATTCATACATACACATACTAGAGCCAATTAACCTACCAGAATGTCACTGGAGTGTGGGAGGAAACCAGAATACCAAGAAGAAACCCAAGCAGGCACAGGGAGAACATGGAAACTCTGTGCAGGTAGTGCCGTGGTTGGGATTCGAATCAACGATCCTAGTGCTGCTAGGTGGAAGTGGAAAATTGTCATCTGAACAGCTGTTGCATCCAAACAGATGCAGCCACTGTTTAGCTATTCTGACAGCTATGGGTGCCAGCCATCAGAATAGCTGTACAGTGGCTGTATTTGACTGGATGCAGCTGCTATTCAGATGACAATTATCCACCCAGCAACTTTGATTTCCAGATTGAAGGAAGCCAGGTGGGAAGATGCTAATATTGCCACTCACGGCTCAAATTAATCAGAAACCATCCTAAATGAACTCTGTGTATGACCAGCTTTGGTTTTCGTTTCATCTCCCTTCTCTAAGAAATCTTACTTCACCTGCTGCTTCAAGGAACATTTGACTCCTTCTGCTACATTGCACATGGTATAACAAACTAATAATCCAACATGATGAGTGAGACCCTTTGCAGTTCCTTCTGCTGCATTCCACATGATAAAAAATAAATTAAAAATCCAACAAGATGAGTAAGACTTTTCCTTTTGGAATGGCAATGAATGGGGTGCATACCTGAGAAATCAAGCACAGAAATCCCCCAGGAATAAAAATGTAAATGATTCAACCCTTCATCATCTATCAAAACATTTAAATATCATTGGATAAAAGACCATTTAAAATGTTGGGCTTAATATATACCAGCACTAGGGGGGATTTACCAAAACTGGAGTACACGGAATCTAGCCCAGCTGTGCATAGTAATCAATCAACTTCTAACTTCAGTTGTATAATTAAACTTTGAAAGTAAGCCCTGGTTCACAGCAGTGTGACTTGTCATGTGATTTGACAGTTCCAAATCACATGACAAGTTGAAACTTATTGCAATAGAACTGTTCAAATTGGTGCGACTCCAACTCCGTCCGCACTATTTTCAGAAAATTCAGGTGTGACTTGCATAGACATTAGGGTCGCCACCTATCCCTTTAACCGCTTCCACGCCACCCTACAGCAGAAATACTGCTACATATATATATATATATATATATATATTATATATATATATATATGATTTTGCAGTTCCGGGTAGGGGGCACATGCCACCATTCGCGGCCTTGGCTGTCAATCACCGGGTCCCAGACGGTGATACCCCGCTGGCACCTGGCGATCTCCGAGGATTTCCAATGGAGGAGAGACCTGTATTTAAACAATACATATCTCTCCCATCAGCTGCTGCACTCTGCTTTGTATGGCTCTGCATAGCAGAGCCATAGAAAGCAGTGGGCTTACAGTGAAACAGACACACAGCACACATAGTAAAGCAGCACCTAGTTAACCCTTTCATCACCCCAGATGTTAACCCCTTCCTGCCCAGTGCCATTAGTACAGTCTCAGTGCTTTTTATTAGCACTGATCACTGTATTGGTGTCACTGAGGATGTCAGTGACACCAAGTCAGCTCCCCCCCAGTGTCAGAATGCCCGTTGCAGTCACTGATCGCCGCCATTACTGGTAGAAGAAAAAAATTCCAGTATACATACCGCCATTTGCAAACGCTATAACTTTCACATAAACCAATTCATTTACACGTATTGGGGTTTTATTTTAGCAAAGACATGTAGCAGAATACATTTTTGCCTAAATTTATGACAAAATTAGATTTAAAACATTTTTTTACTCGACACATTTAATAGCAAAAGGTGAAAAATGTTGTTTTTTTTCAAAATTGTTTGTCTTTTTTCTTTATATAGCTTAAAAAATAAAAAACCGCACAGGCGATCAAATACCACCAAAAGAAAGCTCTATTCGTGGGGAAAAAAAAAGACGTAAATTTCATTTGGGTGCAGCGTTGCATGACTGTGCAATTGTCCGTTAAAATAACGCAGCACCCTATTGCAAAAAATGGTCTGGTCATGAAGAGGGGTAAATCCTCTGGAAGACAAGTGCTTAAAACTGAACACATTAATTACACAGGATCTGTGGCTGATTAAGGTGGCAATTAAACTCACTTAGTGCATTATCTGCATTAAATTGGCCTCAGAACCTGTGTAATTAATATGTGTTCTGTTTTGGGCAGCACAGTGGCTTAGTGGTTGTGGGTCTGCCTTGCAGTAAATGGGTCACGGGTTTGATTCCCGACCATGGCGCCTCCTGCATGGAGTTTGCATGTTCTCCCTGTGCTTGTGTGGGTTTCCTCCGGATGCTCCTGTTTCTGCCCACACTCCAAAGACATGCTGGTAGGTTAATTGGTTCCTGTCTAAATTGGCCCTAATATGTGTATGTATGAATGTGAGTTGGGGACCTTAGATTGTACACCCCTTGAGGGTTAGGGACTGATGTGAATGTTTAATATATATGTGTAAATTGACAGCACTATATAAGTACCTGAAATAAATAAATAAAACCCTAACAGACATTGGTGCATGAAGTCACACCTGAAATCACACTGACCTATGGTATTGAAATCGTGCTACTTCAAGTGATGTAGCATGATTTCAAAGTTGCATTCAACATGAACCAAAGCTAAAATGTAGAAGCTGATTGGTTACTATACACAGCTGCACCAGATTCTGTGTACACCAGTTTTAGTAAATCTCCCCCTAAGCAAAATGTTTTAAGTACAAGTTATGGGTGGATTTCCCAATGTGAACCCAGCTCATTTCTGGGCTTGAAAAATATGTACTGGATTGTCCAAAGGTCCGTCTGTAAATATATCTTCTAATCAACAAACCTGTAAAACCCCAAATCTCTGAGCATGGCTGTAAATAAAAACACATCTACTATCTCACCCAACAGTGCATTCCTCAGACCAAATATACTATTTATATTAAAAACAATGTTGCATGAGTATGAAAAACAGTTCAAGACACATCAGGACTCAGTCCCGTGTAAATAAAACAAGAACAACTATATTTTTTGTACAAGTTAGGCACTCTGAAAATGTAAACATGATCTGTTCTATGTTGAAATGTAACAATAACACTTGTAGCATCTGTATAACTACAAAACAAAACCAACACAACCCCAAGATGTCATGGCTAAAGCTCATTCAGACAGTTTGTACAGTGAACGTTTGATTTGTATACATGCAGAATAACAGGTGTATTGCACTCAATCAAAAGGATTTGATTACACATAAAACAGCAATGCTGCTTCAATGTTTTTATAAAATACATTTTCCTAAGATCATATTTATACAGTACTAGGACTTTGCAAACAAGGGCATTTTATTCCAAGTTCTAATTAATGACTATAGCATCATCCATTGTTTCATAGGGCATAAAAAGCTGTTGAAGCAGTATTAAACCCAAAAACAAACATTTCTTATATTGTAGTTTACCAATTCTGAGATGTGATGGCTGAATTTGTTCCCTTTTGCTGGCTTTCTTTCTGATTTTCATCAGGCAATTCAGCTGTTTTTCAGAAGTTCAAGCTTTCCAATAGAATGTATCAGTTTACATGGATGAGACGGACCATTTAACACTGACCGGGGTGATTGAAATGACAGGTTTATGTATGCATGTAAAACCTTTATCCCAAAAGGAAAAATGTTTGCTGTAACTGATTATAAGGTGAGAGATGGATTTTATAATCCATTTGTTAATGTATTCAAACCTGCTAATACACTCCCCCCCCCTTCATCCCCAGACTGACAATGCTGCTGTGCCCTGTGCTCATTCCTCCAAAGCGGTGTCTCACTAATACAGGAGGTGTGTTATTGGTCACATCACCAGGTGAAATCAAAGGTAAAAGAGGAAAAGGAAACTGATGCAGACACCACACAATTGGTAAGCTGTTATATAATACATTTTTGATTTTGGGTTTAATACTGCTTTATCTTTTCAGTTCCCCTAAAATGCTCACTCAAAATCCATTTATGAGTTTATACATTTTTAAAAAAGGTTATCATGATGTTGAGTTCCTGTAAAAGGTCGATTTTTCCTTTAATTTCATACTATGAAAAATGCGACAGGAGCAGTGAAAGCATCATAAAGTGGAGGAGAGCACCCGAAACCTCAAGATGAATGAGAACACAATTAGGATCTATGGCAAGAAAATAATGCAGCCACCAAGACTCAGGCTACCAGATCTATTTATACCTAAAATATCAGTTTTGGGTGGAATGACCCAAAGAGCAGATACATGCATAGGATACAGCCAGGGGCGGACTGACAACTCATGGGGCCCCCAGGCAATAGGAGATCATGGGGCCCCTGTGTCCTTACCCAAACTTAAAAAAAATCCTATGAAAAAGGTACCAGGGGCATCTCATGGGGCCCCCTACTGATCCCAGGCCCTCGGGCAGTGCCCGAGATTCTAAATGGTCAGTTCGCCCTTGGATACAGCACTATGAGTGCAGCACTGCAGAGAAACCAATCAGCTTCCAGGTTTTACTGTCAAAGCTTAATTGAAGAAGCTGAAGTTAGAAGCTGATTGGCTGCCATGCACAGCTGCACCAGATTCTGAGTGCTCCAGTTTTAGTTAATCTCCCCCAATGTGTCTGATTTAACCGCTTCCACACCACCCTATAGCAGAAATACTGCTACAGGGCGGCACGGGTGTGCAAAATCACGTATATACACATGATTTTGCAGTTCCAGATAGGGGGCTGACATTCGTGGCCTCAGCTGTGTTTTCCCGCTGGCACTCGGTACTCTCAGAGTATTACCGATGGGGGAGAGAACTGTATGTAAACAATACAGATCTCTCCCGTCAGCTCCTTACAGTGAAACACATACAGCCCACATAGTAAAACAGCACACAGTTAACCCTTTGATCGCCCCACATGTTAACCCCTTCCTGCCCAGTGCCATTAGTACAGTGTCAGTGCTTTTTATTAGCACTGATCACTGTATTAGTGTCAATGGGGATGTCAGTGACACCATGTCAGTTCCCCCCAGTGTCAGAATGCCCGCCGCAGTCCCGCTGTTAGTCGCTGATTGCTAGTAAGATTAAAAAAAATCAGTATATATACAGCCTATTGTAAATTATATAACTTTCACATAAACCAATTAGTTTACACGTATTGGAATTTTTTTTTTTTTAGCAAATACATGTAGCAGAATACATTTTGACCTAAATCTATGATGAAATTAATTTTTTAATTTTTTTATTGGACATGTTTAATAGCAAAAATTAAAAAATATTGTTTTTTTTTTTTTCAAAATTGTCGGCCTTTTTTTGTTTATAGCGCAAAAAATAAAAACCGCACAGGCAATCAAATACCACCAAAAGAAAGCTATATTTGTGGGGGAAAAAAAGAACGTAAATTTTTATTTGTGTGCAGTGTTGCATGACTGTGCAAAAAAATGGCCTTGTCAGGAAGGCGGGGTAAATCCTCTGGAGGGCAAGTGGTTAACTGTTCTAATGAGTTGCTGATCACTTTTTGCCACTAAATAACACTGGCTGCTCCTTGGGTTGTCAAATGGCCTGCTAAACGACTTGGTATTTTTGCCCATGTGTACAAAGTCTAATATATGAAATCATTAATATTCATGCAAAGCATTGGTGATGCAGGCAACAATCAACACAGTAAACAGAAGAACACGTGAGAGATGAGAGTCCCTAACAGTTCTAAAATTGCAGTTAGAGCATATGTTATTGGTATTTTTAAACCTGGGTGGTCTGCTGCAGCAAATGTACCTGAAGGACTTTGAACACAAGCTACTAAGTAGACAATGGAACAAACAGGAAGAAATGGTTGATCCTGAAATGTGTCTTGTACTTTGGTACAAAGCGAGAGCTTTTAATGAATCACAAATGGGGTATTTCCAGTACACCCCATATTTTGTGGCCCAGCGTGGCTGCAGGAATTCTTTTGCTTCATTCTGATATCTGGAATGCATTACAGATCTGCTTAGCCACTTTCATTGTTTCTAATGCTGGAAAAGGTCTGTGATATATCAGGAAATAGTCTTTTTTGTGAGCAAAATGTTGTGTGTGCATGAAAGATTTAACTCTAATGGTGCAGGAGTGGAACAGTCCATACCACTGGCGGGTTTGATTAAAAACAAAAAAAAGAATCTAGTGCCATCTAGTGGAAATCTGCTTTGAAACAAGTTTAAAAAGACCATTGTGTAGAATGATCATTGTTTTATATGTTCTTACAGCCCGTTGTCCTGAAATATTAATTGGTTGCAACCAGACACTGTCTGATATGTTTCACCTAATTTGTAATGACATTTCCCTTTACTATTCTGTATACAGTGAGTTTGGATGCCCCAAAGTTGTAAGGTCATCTTAACTGAAAATAACATGCACATTTTGACTAACCTTTGCATAGTGCAGCAGATGACAAGCAAGAGCAATGTCACCCAACCACTTTCATACAAGATGATTTTCTAATTTGAAAACCCTTAAGTGTTTCCATCATGGTATATTGAACTTGTAAATGAATTCAGCGTGGAAGTAATTAGTATGACCATTGCAACCTTTCAAACTCCCCACCATCCCACAGCCTGGGTATTAGAGAATAGGTGACACTCCCTGCAAACTTGTCTAATGCAGGCCATAGACGGGGAGAAAACCGTCCGATTTTTTGGCCGAAAAAAATCAGCCGATTTTCAGATCGTTAGTGGGGTAATCAGTCGGCCATTTTTTTGTGATTTTGAAACTTTCTGTTTATCGGTCATGTTGGGAAAAAAATTGGCCAATTTTGTCCTTCAGCCGATTTTTGCGGCAATGATGGACAAATTGGACGGTCTTTTTACCGATTTTAAAAAATGCGCATGAGCAGTGACCGGCAAGAAGAAGGGAAAAGAGGAAAAAGAAGAAATAGAATATGAATAAGAAGAGGAAAACGAAGAAATAGAATATGAATAAGAAGAAAAGAAGAAATAGAATATGAATAAGGAAAGAAAAGGAAGAAATAGAATATGAATAAGGAGAAGGAAAAAGAAGAAATAGAATATGAATAAGGAGAAAAAGAAATAGAATATGAATAAGGAGAAGAAAAAGAAGAAATAGAATATGAATAAGGAGAAGAAAAGATTATGAATAAGAAGAAAAAGAATAGGAATAATAAGAAAAAAAAAGAATTTCAGTCCGATATTATATTTGACATTTAAAAGAATAGCAACATTGTATCTATTTGTATCCGAATAGAAACATCTGTATCTGAAATGGATACAAATAGATACAATGTTGCAACTTTTTCTTCCTCTTATTTATATTGTATTTCTTCTTATTATTCATATTCTATTTCTTCTTCATATTCTATTTCTTCTTCTTCTTATTCATATTTTATTTCTTCTTTTTCATCTTCTTATTCATATTATATTTCTTCTTCTTCTTATTCATATTCTATTTCTTCTTTTTCATCTTATTCATATTCTATTTCTTCTTCTTATTCATATTCTATTTCTTCTTTTTCGTCTTCTTATTCATATTCTATTTCTTCTTCTACTTATTCATATTCTATTTCTTTTTCTCCTTATTCATATTCTATTTTTTCTTTTCTTATTCATATTCTATTTCTTCTGTCAAATATAATAGCGGAGCTCTCTGTAGGGACACTGCTATTATATTTGCCGGCCGTAGATGGGACTAAAATCAGCCGACTTTTTTTTTACCAATGGTGGTAACGTCGGCCGACTGAACGACCGATTTTTCGTTTTTCTAAAAAAAAAAACGTCCTGTTTTCTCCCCGTCTATGGCCTGCATAAGTTTCAGCATTCTCAAAAAGTCCAAACTTACACAGAAGCTACGAGGTGCACCAGAACCAGATTATTGCAGTGGAGGAAAGCACTGAAAGTAACTGAATCCTGAATACTCTGCCTGCTGTAAGGCTCCATTCACACCTGTGCAGTTTGCTTTTTGCCTGTTTTCAAGTGCTTTTCGCAGTTCATTTTGCCTTTTTCTACATGCATTTTTGACACATTTGTACCTCGTTTTGTTCAGCTTTTTTTTTTTAAAGTGGACATTTTTTTTGCTGGGCAGAATAAAAATGCAAAACGCGGCACAAACACACTACCATGCATTTCAGTTGATTCTCCATTGAATCTACTCCATTGATTCTCTACTGTAGCAAAAACCTTGCTTTTTGCTTTACAAAAAAGTCCCTGACCCTTTCCAAAAACACAGCAGCTCAAAAAAGCATATATGTGAACATGTTCCATAGGAAACCATGTTAAATGGACTGTAGTGCGTTTCTGCAAAAAGCACTAAAAAATGCATTGGTGTGAAAGGAGCCTAAAGTCATGTCACTTTACTCAGTATAGGCAGGTACAGGCTTAAAGCTGAACTCTAGGAAACTTAAAAATTACTGAGCCCACAATGTAAGGGTTGATTGCTTGTTTGGGTCTAGGGTACATAGAAAAGAAGATCTGGGCAGCACAGTGGCTAAATGGTTAGCACTTCCACCTGGCAGCACTAGGGTTGCTGGTTTGAATCCCAACCACAGCACCACCTGCCTGGAGTTATATGTTCTCCCTGTGCCTGTGTGGGTTTCCTCTGGGAACTCCGGTTTCCTCCTACACTCCAAAGACATGCTGGTAGGTTAATTGGATCCTGTCTAAATTGGCCCTAGTATGTATTAATGTGAGTTAGGGACTTTAGATTGTACACCCCTTGAGGGTTAGGGACTGATGTGAATGTACAATATATATGTAAAGTGCTGCAGAAATTGACAGCGCTATATAAGTACCCAAAATAAATAAATCTAAGTAGTCACTCCTCCACTTTGCTAGACAAGTCCTCGCAGTGTCTTCTCCCTCATGATCCAGCCATCCTCATTTTCCTGACATCATTAAGACTGTTGCAGGGTCCATAGCCCTGGCAGGAGTGACAGTCCACCGCTGGGGCATGGGGGGTTGGATCAGGTAAGTTAAACTGCAAAAACTCTCCCCTAGACTAAACATGCAGCCAACCCTAGCAGTGTGGGTGCAGCCCCACTGCAAGGGATCATTTTTAAAGTAGAGTTCCACCTGTTTTTTGAAGTTTAGTTCTAAGTATTCCTGATTGTTGTCCATATATAGTTAGGTTTTTGGGGGGTTTTTTTGTAAAGGTTTACATACCTTTTTTTTAGGCATACAGCAAGAACTTCCATTGTATTTTTTTTTTTTTAATTTATGGGGACTGGAACTCCACATTAAGTTTCCCAGAATTGTGCTGTAACCCAAGGAGAAGCAGATAAAACCCATTTATATAGCACTTTACAAAAACACTGAACCATTTACTACCTTGATGGAGACGACTATGTAATGTTTGCACCTGGGTCACACTGACAAACATTTGGTTTTTGCTGTTGACCATCCAAGTCAGTCACACTGTGGCAAGGTGAAGCATTAGCTCGGGAGAGAGCACTGTGCTCAGATAACTACGGTACCCTATTTTTCGTCATATAAGACGCACTCCCCCCCAAAAAAAATGGGGGGAAATGTCTGTACGTCTTATGGAGCGTCGCCACTGTGTTAGAATACTGGACCGGCTGTTCGGCTCTTCTGTGCAGCAGAACCTGCTCCTTGGTCCTACCTGTTCCTTGGTCCTACCGGTGTCCTCATCACCTCATCTTGCCCAATGCGTGAGAAGCACTGCGCATCCGTAGTCTTCTGGGACCTGTCACGTGACCCAGAAGACTTCGGGAGAGAGGCGATTGCAGTGGAAGCGGGACGGGTACCTGTCAAATTTGGGTACAGTGAAGATAATACTAGAGATAAAAGCTGAACCATTATTTTGCTTTTCTTTTCTTTAAGCTGAAGTTTAGTCATTTTTGGGGGTTGGAGGGATACAGCACCAAATACATTAGTTACATTTAATGGTGTGTATCCCATTACCTGCAGGCTTCTGCTTCTTGGAAGAATCTAATTTCCATGCCACCTTCATGCACACAGGGTGTTTTAATAACGCTGGTAACGTTAGCTGTGTAAAGTCATGTTAAAAACGTGAATTTTTCAGCGTTTTTGCATTAGCGTTTAACCGCGTTTTTCCACG